GACAGTCGTATGGGTATTCCCTTGTAGGTAACTGAGTTTCTTTCTCTTGCTGCTTTTAAGATTCTCTCTTTGTCTTTTGCTCTTGGCATTTTAATTATGATGTGTCTTGGTGTGGTCCTCTTTGGATTCCTTTTGTTTGGGGTTCTCTGCGCTTCTTGGACCTGTAAGTCCATTTCTTTCACCAGGTGGGGGAAGTTTTCTGTCATTATTTCTTCAAATAGGTTTTCAATATCTTGCTCTCTCTCATCTTCTGGTACCCCTATAATTCTGATGTTGGTACGTTTGAAGCTGTCCCAGAGGCTCCTTACACTATCTTCGTATTTTTGGGTTCTTTTTTCATTTTGCTTTTCTGGTTGGGTGTTTCTCGCTTCTTCGCATTTCAAATCTTTGACTTGATTCTTGCGCTCCTCTGGTCTGCTGTTGGGAGTCTGTATAATATTCTTTATTTCAGTCAGTGTATGCTTACTTTCTAGATGGTCCTTTATCACACCATCGAGGGTCTCATTAGATTTCCTGTACATCTCATCAAGTTTATCGACAGCCTCTAGAAGCCTCTTGAGAGACCTCAAAAGTGTGGTTCTGAACTCAATATCCTCCCTTGATAGTTTTGTCCTGTTTCTTTGTCTCCGCATTTTTTACGATTTCTTGGTACACCCCCTAGTGGTCTTTGTGCGCAGTCTTGTTGTAGTTAAGCCTTGATTGTTGTAGTTAATACTAGAGGGATTTGACCTCCAGGCCGACTGGCTGTGATAATCAGCTGTGTCTGCAGTGGAAGAACTTGTGTCCTCTAGGGAGGTGCTAATCTAGCCTTTGCCTGAGGCTATCGGGCAAATGCCTCTGTGCAGGGCTTGGGCGGGGCAGTTCCCACGGGATCAACAGGGCAGAGGAGGGAGCAGTTATGGCTGCTCTCAGTCCGTCCCCACGGGCTCTGCCTCTCTGTCCCAGCAACCGCTATAAACCTCGGAGGGACCGTAGCCAGACAGTCCTGCTTCTCCCGTTTGAGTCTGGGTCCCTAGAGACTCGCCCGGATCTGGAGCTCAGAGTCTGAGGCTCCCTCCGGATTGAAACAGACAACCACGCCCTCAGCCACCAGCCCGCTCCGAACGCACTCCGCACCTTAGTATTTTACTTCAGCACTGCACCTCCTCTGATTCTCGGTTCCTCCTAGTTGTGGAACTTCCACTCAGCCAGCCTTCCTGTGGTTCTGGATGATGTCCGTTCGGTCTTTTAGTTGTATTTTTGAAGTGGTTGTTCGAGGCAGCAAACTCCAGCGTTAACCTATGCCGCCATCTTGGTTTTTTTTCGGATTTCTTTTTCTCTCTTCATCTTTTCCTCCATCTGGGCTATGATTTCGTCGAAACTTCTCTCTTGAGCCTCCATTTTTTGCTGCTTTTCATTCAGTGTTTGTCTTAGCAGCTCCTCTTTTCTTTTCACTGCCTCTGTCTTGGCTTTTTCAGCTGTTCCACAATGGTTTTACAGAGATAAGAAAATAAAAATTATACCTAGCTGCACCGTTCAAATAAAAGAGACTAAAATGATTTTTAAATGGCCGAGAGGAATCTCTCAATATTCTTACCAACAATAGGAGCAAAGCAGGTTTCAGAATGAGATGGAAAGGCACTTGTTACCCTGAGGGAGTAATTGAAATTCACCTGGTTACTTTTTGATTTAGCCAAGTTGTTTTAATCCTTTAGTAGAAACACCTTGTTTTAAGGACTCGTTCTCACACATTTAGGGGAACTGCAGGGACCTCCCTGCTTTCCATGTTCACAGCCCTGACCTGTTCCTCCTAGAGCAGTGATGGTGAACCTTTTGAGCTCAGTGTGTCAGCATTTTGAAAAACCCTAACTTAACTCTTGTGCCGTGTCACATATAGAAATTTTTTGATATTTGCAACCATAGTAAAACAAAGATTTATATTTTTGATATTTATTTTATATATTTAAATGCCATTTAAAAAAGAAAAATCAACAAAAAAAATGAGTTCGCGTGTCACCTCTGACACGCGTGTCATAGATTCGCCATCACTGTGCTAGAGCCTTCTCCCCAGCAGTGAGGGCCTTGTCCAGGGGTGGGCAAACTTTTTGACTCGAGGGCCACAATGAGTTCTTAAACTGGACTGGAGGACCGGAACAAAAGCATGGATGGAGTGTTTGTGTGAACTAATATAAATTCAAACTAAACATCATTACATAAAAGGGTACGGTCTTTTTTTATTTCAATATAGAACAGCCGAATGGGCCGGATCCGGCCCGCGGGCCATAGTTTGCTCACGGCTGGCCTTGTCAGCCTGTAGGATGAATTCCTTTGTTGCAGCCTGTGACTGCTTGAAGTTCTGGAAGACCTCCATTGCCTGAAAAAACAAGGACCAAAGACTCTTCTTGCTGGGGAAAAAGACTCTTCTTGCTGGGGAAGTCATCCTATATAATAAAGATGTGATATGCAAATTGACCGTCATGCCCTCACACAAGATGGCCACCCACATGTGGCCACAAGATGGCCGGCAGGGGAGGGAAGTTGTGGGTAATCAGGCCAGCACAGGAGGGCAGTTGGGGGCAACCAGGCCAGCAGGGGAGGGCAGTTGGGGGGAATTGGGCCGGCAGGGGAGCAGTTAGGTGTCGATCTGGCTGGCAGGGAAGTGATTGGGTTGATCAAGCAGGCAGGCAGAAGCAGTTAGGGACAACTAGGCAGGCAAGCGGTTGGGAGCAAGGGGTCCCAGATTGGAGAGGGTACTCTGATCCTCTTGGGAAAAGCAGTTTGATGGCATCAAGTTGGACTGGAGCATAGAACTATAGACCAGGATCAAGAAGCTCATTTTAGTCCCTGTTTAGATCAATTTGTTGTGTGACTTGTGGAGAGGTGCTTAATTCTCTTCTGTTCAGGCTCAACACTTTTGAGTGATGGTGTTGGTAGACATAAAATCCATGTGTGTGTTTTTTTAATTGAGATATAATTGAGATATCACATTATATAAGTTTCAGGTGTACAATGTAATTGTTTGATATCTATATACATTGCAAAATGATCACCACATTGTCTAATTATTGTCTGCCACCTTACACAGGTATAAACATTGTTTTTTCTTTGATGAGAACTTTTACATTCAATTCCCTAGCAAAAACCACATATGAAATTTAGTATCATCAAGGTTCCTTTATCGGTCCTAAGATTAAGAGTGGTCCATCCATCAACAATGAACAATGGAAAATTCAATGCAACTGGAAGTAGACTTTCTTCTGCAAACTTGGATTGCTATGAATAAAAAGATATACACAGTAAACCAATTGTCCACTAATGAGTTAAGTGTTCAATGAACAGAGTTTTGAAGTCCCATAAATTATTTTAATAAAGGCTTGATTGTGCAAAAATATAGGGAAGGAAATTTTTTGTTATACCTGAATGCAACAACCTGTTCCAGCAAGGATTCAGGAATCTGTAAAAGGGGCTGCGACATAAATGAATAAACTAGATAAGAAATATAAATTTGGAAGGCATGGGGAACCAGGCGGAAACCCTTCTCTAGTGGAGTGGCTCCCTGAAACTCCAGACCCATAGCTTTTTATTTACACATTTTGCCCTTTAGCAAAGCAAACACACATATCAAAGGTAAGGTTTGGTAAACAGTAAAAGATTATCAGGTTAGGGGAATTGTCTTTGGCTGTTTAGCCAGCAGCAGGTAATAATATGCAGATTTTCAGCCTGCTGAATATCATGAAGTCCATCAGCCTTTTGAGGACTTTTCACATTTATTATGACCTTCTGGTCTTAGCCTCCAGCACCTGAAAAATTATAATCATATTGCTTTTCTTCTGTATGAAATGAGAGTTTTGTAACTTGTAAGATGGTCAATGACAGACACAAAAACAAGGTGAAGGTGTTTATATTGGGCAGAATTATGTAGTTCTCCAGAGTTCTCTCCCCTGGTGTCCACACAGGATAGTCTCCAGGTCTGTGAATATGCTAAATATTAATCTTGTGATTATATTTTTATCTGGCACTGGCTAACTTTAGGAAGTAGAGATTACTCCAATGGGCATTCCTAAACACAGGAAGCCTTTAAAAGCAGTTTACTCCAGTTGTTAGCAGAGAGGTAGTCAAAGATATTTTTTTAAAAAAAAGACAAGGATACAATGCACCATTGCTGCCTTGAAGATGGGGAGGAGTTCCAATGAGCTTCCTAATGACATTATATTAATTTCAGGTGTACAACATCTGAATCTTGTTTTCAGCTCTTGGTAAACACAGCAGAGCACCATACATCTTGTGCTAGGAATTCACCTGAAGAATAGTGAACTAAAAAATTATGTGTTTTTGCAAACTCCTAATAAGTACATGTTAATTTGCTTTGCCATAATGGAAATAAAGAACCAATCATTCAGAAAAAGGATTAGTAATAGACTATAGATCCCAGTCACTCACATGAATCCAAACTTCTTTTACAATGGGAAACACATGAACTATGGGTCAAAAGGGGATGTGTAGGCATTAATCTAGAGGAACAGAGATTAGGAAAGATCTATGCTAAGACATATTTACCATAAGCTTCGTCTGGAACACTTGGTTGTCATCCTTGAAGGAGTGCTCCATGAAGATTGCAATGGTTTCTTTCTCACAGGCTGCATGCAGGTCCAGCAGCTCCTGCAGCATGTGTGTGGGGAAGCTCACTCTCTGGGCCATCTGCTCACTGTAGTGGTCGGCTGCCTTCTCCACAGCCACTGAGTTCTCACGCTCAGCCAGAGTTATCACTGCATTTTCCAAACAAGGCACTGCTCCACTGTTGATGGTATCCACATCTGCCTTTGCCAGAGTCCCCAGACCTGAATGACACAAGATATTCAGAAAATGGACAAGAAGTTTTTACTCACTGTTTCACAAGCTTTAGAGATCATCATTCTAAAAAGAACAAAACTTTGTTGAAATGAAGATTTCTGTCTTCTCTCTCTTCCTTTCCTCCCCACCTTCCTCCTTGTCCTCATCCTTGTCTCCTCCTCCTTTATATATTATAAACCCCCTTCCTTGTAATAACATCATCATATCTCCTATACATTCTCTCTTTTATGGTTCTCAAATTCATGTCATGATCATGTAAACTTAATGATTTCAACCAATGTATTCAAAAGTTTCCTGGAACCTTTCCCAATTGAAATACATTTTAAAAGAGTTTATTTCACAGGTAGGTAAAGTAGATAATTTGTGGGAAAATTTTTCCAATGAAAATTTGGGCTCATATAAAACAGTCATCAAATATTTCAGGATGGTGACTCAAGTATTAAATCAGTCATGGGCCCATCTCATCCCAGGACACTGTATGTCTGCTGAAGTTTTATAGATCCATGAATCTGGCCCTGTACAGAAGACTAGAGTTAAATTTTCTTCTCAAGATCTAATGAACTTTCAGTGGCTTATGTTGTGCTATGTATTTTTTTCTATTTTGTCTTGTCATCATCATGCAGATTCCTATCCTTAACAGTAGCTTGTGCATATGTCATTAGTGTATTAGTTTCATGAGATACAGTAGATTTAAATAAACCTTCATATAGGGAAACTTTAATGAAAAAACATGTATGTCTATGTGTGGCATGAATCTGCATATCCACATCCCATACAGCAGGAAACAGAACTACTGACAAACCCTGAGTACAATCACACACAATGAACTGCAGAAAAACGTGCTATAACAAAGGAGACTCATGATTTCCAGTGACAATGATTCCCTCTCTGAGGGTCTTTGTTTTTGCACCTGTGAAGGTATAGTTACAGAAATTTTTGGATTGCTCCTGGAAACTGTACTCCAGTTGTTTTCTGACAGGCATTCCATATGTTGTAACAAGTTCTTTTTATGTGTAGGCCGATCAAAAACAAAGCCCTTTCACTTGGGGAAGAACTTCCTGATATAGTACTTTCTAGTCATGTTGTGAACTGCATCCAGCATGGCCAATGGTTTACCTGAGGAGGGGCCAGTGAAGGATTAAAAGAAACAGACATGAGCATATAGTTGGGGCCAGGTGGATCACTGCACCTGGATGAGGAAACAGTGACACAGCCTGTATGCCAAATCTTTATTTTATATTCAGATCACACAAAGCAAAACAAGGGAGTGGTCAAGATGTTTACAATGTTCTTGCGAGTTTCAAATATGCTTCTTTCCTGTTGTTGCAATTCTCTGAACTCTATCAAGTTTTGTTTTGGCAGCACTTGCTTCATTCCCCGAAGCCCACATCCCTCAGCTACCTAGGACTCCAGGGTCAGACTATAAGGTCAAGCTTATGAAAACCATAGCCTTTGGCTATAATTGTGCTGGGAGGGCTTTTCCCTCCAAGCTGGGACTTGTTTTGTGCTTTGCCACAAGAGGACCTTGTTGTCTCGTCAGTCTGAGGCTTGAACCTGTCCAAACGCTGTTGTCGCTCTCCACAATGTTGGATTGCTGGATTTTGGGATCCTTGCCTGTAGAAGAAAAGTAAAAAAGAGCAGTGATTGGTGAGACAGTCTTCAGGAAAGTATGTTCATTTTCAAGGGTATTTCTGTTATTATAACTCTGATGCTTGCATATATCCTCCTATTTAATCATGAATATGAACGTAATGCAAATCTCCTCAAAAAAAGATTTATTTATTTATTTATTTTTGTGCAAAGCCAGGAATAAAAGAAGTACTGCTGAGGAAGAAGAGGAGGCATTCATCCCATCTGAAGAAACTTATTATTGCTTTCTTTAGCTCTTCCACGGTTTCCAACAGCTTGACTATTAATTAGATATTTTTGAATGATAGATTAATCCCCAAAATTGTCAGAAATACATTTGATATTATAGTCCTCCTGTCAGAAATGTAATGGGGGTTCTAAAGTAAAAGTCAAATATTTCTTGGTAGATATATGGCAATTTATGATATTGCTAGAACAGACAATACTCAGACCAGTAAAGAATAACTTCTAAAAATCAAAGTAACAATACAGACCATAGAAATATAGAAGTTTAACCTAATGCCACATAAAGACCACACCTGTTCTCTATATCAGATTATATCGAACGTGACAATGTCACACTGGGTAATTCTGGGCATATATCAGCTGCTCAATATGTGATTCTTGAATAAATATATAAAATATTATATAACCAAAAATGGACATGCTTCCAGGTGCCATCCATTTTTCTCTCTGCTAAATCTATTCTGTGTAAATAATTTATTCTATTAACATGATGATAGGCTATAGAATGAGGAGAGTGATGTTATAAGAGAGCAATAATGAATGATTTGACAGTCTTACTGGAAGAATATGTTAATTTGGGGGCTATTAAGATACACAAGATGAAATATGTTTTAAAAAATGAGTCATTTGATATCATTGTGATTCTGAGTTACCCGTTGTCCATAAAGTTGGGCATTTTCTCCAAATATAAGCAGAGGAGTGCTAAACTTAATCAGAATGAAATATTTGACCCCTAAAATGTCTTAGTACTGGTTGTTATCCTCCAATTTTTTTCATTGTGTCAATTTTCCTAAAATCTTTGGTACAATATTGGATATTCCATTTCCTTAGCCAGCTTAAATTCTGGTCACTTGAGTTTCTTTAGTCTTAATAACAATTGAATTTATACCTACCAGTCATACTCATATCACCATTGGCACGGGCTTCAATGTAATAAAAAAATAAAAATTGAGCTTAAGTACTAAATGACAGGGCATATTTGATCACATTCTACATTGGGTTTCACTCCTGGCAGAGTTGATCACCATGGATACATTTACATGTTGCCATGTATATTTACACCCTGGCAAATCATCACTGGAGGTCAGGGATTGACATATAAAACTTTATATTATAGCCCTCTGGTCAGAAATATAATGTGAGTAATAAAGTAAGAGTCAAATGTTTCATCCTCCACCACCCAGACCATCCTCTGATACCTGGAACTTCAAGGCATTCTCCAGGTACTCATCTTCACTGATGGTGCATCCATCTAACTTCAGGTCCAGTGTGAAATTCCGTACAACCCAAACAAAGTCTGGAAAGAAACTCAAAAACATGGCTGAATCACCTACTTCACCAGAGCTGGGAGAGGATTTTGCCCTGATGAGCTTTGTTAGTTCAGTCACATAGCTGGGATCTTAGCTAAGGAATGAGAAATGCTCCATGCTAAAATTTCCACATCTCAACCAGAAATCATTTTTAATAACATTCCCATTCACCCAGTGTCTCTTTCTCCTCAACCATGATTATCGACTGGATAAATCCACAAAAGCCACAAAATAGTCTCAGTTATATTCCCATAGACTCCATTCACATTTTGGTTGGGTTCCTGGAAGGATACTGCAGCTGCTCCAGGGTATGGTGGTTGATGGTGCCCATGCTGTTGTAGACAAACATGCTGCTCAGAAGCACGGCCAGGGCAAAGATCCATGAGTCATTTTTTGAATAACCCTAGAAAGTGCAAGAAAGAGACTGAGGTCTCTTCAATTTATTCATCCATTCTGTTGTTCACTATTTCAGCTCTACTATAACTGACCATTAGGGCAAATAACATACACTGTGAAGACAGTGCTAAATTCAAACTTCATTTTGGCTTTTGACATTGACACCTCTCTTGGCCTGAGTTACATAACTATTAAAAGAAGTAAATGACAATGTAAATGTTTGCAAAATGTGTAAAACAGTCCCAACAACATAGAAGTATGCAATAATATGTGAGTAATTATTTATTTTCCATTTTCTCTTGAACATGGGCTATTGGGGATACAAATGAGAGTCAATTAAATTCATCAATTTCTCATTGTGCGTATAAAAAAAATGTCAGATACTGCATTTACTTTTTTGGATATAAAGGTTCCTAAGAGCAATCTCTGATCTCCAGAGATGATGTGCTAAAGGTTCAAATATACATGGCAACATGTAAGTGCATTCAAGGTGATCAAATCTGCCAGAAATGCAACCCAATGTTGCAACGTAAAAGACAAAGTGGAAATGCAATACTCAGAAAAATTATCTGTGATTTCAAGCCAAGAAGGGATTATATCTTAATGAGATAAATCCAATTAGGTTAAAAGTAGTAGGGTTTTGCTTTAAAGAATGAACAGAATGTGGAATTGTGGAGAGAAAAGGACCAGGCTGGTGGAAGGATCTACAGAAGCCAATTACTATTGTTCATACAAAGGTGCTACATGTTATTTTATTTTATTTGATTGAAGTAGTAGTTATGTGGGTGGTAGGAATAGATGATGCAGCTGAATATAACATTCAGGATAAATCATGAGTGACTATGCAATAGAATTGGATACTACTAAAAACCCTAGAGTTGTAAGGACAGCAAGTACTTCTCCTGCTATCAGTTGACAGTTATGTTTTGGCTCCTTTACAAATGTAATTAGTTAAAAAGAAGAAGGTTTATGTAAACTACAATCTGTTAGCAATCTGTAGACCATCTTGGGCTTATACTGAGGTCATTACTGAGTACTTTACACTTGAATTATGCTAAGTGAAATAAGCCATTCAGAGAAAAACAAGTTTCATATGATTTCACTCATGTGAAATCTAATGAACATAATGAACCAACAAGCAACATAGAGGCAGACTCATAGATAGAGAGCAGGCTGACAACTCTTGGAGGAGGGTGAGGGGTTGGGTGGCAGAAGTGGAGGTATTGAGCAAAGAAGGAACAAGAGAAAGAATTCATGACAGGGCAACAGTGTGGTGACTGCTGGGGAAGGGGCATGGGAGAAGTTGGAGGAGGGTTTAGGGGGGATAAATTGTATGGACAGAGACTTGACTTTGGGCGGTGTAAAGATACTGTGCTGTAGAATTGTGCACCTGGAACCTGTATATATTTGTTAACCAGCATCACTCCAATAAATTCAATTAAAAAATTAATATTAAAATTCAGAATATCTAAATTCCTGCCCCTACTCCTTTTGGGGTAAGGGAAGCCAAAGATCCACTGCTCTGCTTTCAAATTAGACTATGGATAATACAAATGACACATGATTGACTGCAACTAGCACAGTAAAGACAAAATACCCAAAATTATTTCATTAAAATGCTTTTGATGGGTCTAGCTCATGAATTTATAGAAAGTCAGGGAGGAATTCACCTCTAAAGCCCAGAGACTTGGACTAAAACCTTAATTAATATGTATGCTATCGTTGAAGTGTTTTTGGAGATTATGTAAATATGTTATTTTAATGAAACCACATTTTCACATTTCCTACCTTCAAGACTATCAACCTCAGACACCTTAATCACCAGATGCATTGATCCCATAATTATAGCTTCCTCCAGGATGTTTTTCTTAACCTGAAGACCAGTGTAATATGTCACTCCTTGTATTCATGGAGCCCTGTACAGATAACACTGCATATGTCTTATCTTCCACTTCAGCTCTGAGCCTTTTCCTCAATCATGCATACCTGTAGTACTTAACACAAGAGCCTAGAATTTAGATGCCAAATAAGTATTTATCTTGTAACTTTCATCCAAGTGTAAAAATAAGAAGATATATATATCTAATCAGGAAACTATTGAGTTTCCAAGAAAGTAAATTCAAGGAAACAAAATTTAACACCTCATTATTCTTAAGTGGATTTATAGTTTATAGAAATAGGTCATAGAAGTTGAATAAAGTTTGCAAATTAAAATATAAGTGGAGTATCAAGAACAAAGAAGACTCTTTGCCTTACCTTTTCCACATCACCCAGGCCCTCAATATACAGAAGGACCAGAGCGTGGTTGGGCTTCAAGGGGTGGGGTACACACCACTTCCAGATGCCCATGGTTTCAGACCACACTGTGGAGCCTGGACAGAATCCTGCAAAGTTAGAGGAGAAAGTATTATAGAGTACAGCAGATAGTCCAGGCTCCCCATAGGTTCATTGGTTAAAACTATTGGAATGTGAGTGCCTGGCTGGGAGGAAAGTTGCTTTGGTTTCAGCAAGGACAGCCTATCCAACCTTTATACATGTGAAGGACCTTCTCAAGAAACACTTTCTGTTTCCTATTCACATCATACTATCAATGGCTCAAGCTATGTCACATTCAGAATTACTATAACCTCTATTGATCTTTATATTTTTTTCTGACACTGAAGAGGCCCTTTTTCCTTCAGTTTCTGATGGAGTTTTACCAGTGGGAGGCGTCAGCATGAGACTAGAGGTCAGGCATGTGTTCCCCTCGCTTATCCTTGGTGAGCCACAGTGTCCCAGTGCCTCTGTTCCTCTACAGTGGGTCACAGCCCTTTCGTTTAGCTTCATATAAAACTGCTGGTCTTTGCCACATTCTGGTTTCACTTTCTGCTTGTCTTTTCAGGCTAAAGGAGTGACTATAGTTCCCTGGCCATTACTGTTGCCACCCTCTAGGTACTTCCTCATCTCCAGTTAGTTCTCTGTGACCTGCTTATGCCCTTGTATGTGTCCCTCTATTAATACTCATTAGTTACCCTCTGAGAGGTTCTTGTGTGTCCTGCCAGGAACTGGACTGATAATCAGCTATGTTGGATTTTTCTTCCCTTTCATTCCTGTATTTTTTTCATTTCTTTTATCTTCTTCAAGAAATTGAGGAAGATTTTTTTTTCTTTTTCTTTTCACTGCCTTAGGTTGGGATATAATGGAAGTGAAAGCAGAAAAGACCTGTGAAACCTGCATGCTCCTCTTTCACAAGGCTTAAACCAACAGGTGGACAGCATGTGATCGATATGCCCAAGAACCTATGCGTGATGTACCTTGTCTAACAGTTCAACATTTTTAACATCCACCATAGGCCAATGTTTCCTTTAATGGGGACTAGAAATGGACATGATGGAATGTGTAGGGAAGGTGCTTTCAGCTTGATGCAAGCCATTCTATTTCCACATCCAGTGAGTTCTCCACAGAGAAGATATAAAGCCTGAGATGGCCTGCATTCTTCTTCATTGTAATAGTATTTGATTGTTTGCTTATTAATACAGAGTAATCTGAACTCCCAGATACCTTAATGAGAAAAGGTATGTGTAACTAGAGATCATCACTCTCAGTTATGAGAGGTAAAAACCCACAAAGGAAGTTATCAACAAGTAGTGACCTGGTCTGGCTCCTGGGTCTTGACTGGGCACAAATTCTTCTTTTTTGTTTCTTTCTGTTGTATGAGTTTGGTGGTGGAGTCACAATTCAGATGGTGTTGTTTTTCCATTTACAGCTTACTTTCAACATTATATTGTTACTTTCAGTTGTACAGCATAATGGTTAGACACTCATATACTTTGCAAAGTGTTCCCACTGATATTTCCAGGACCCACCTAGCACTATATACAGTTATTACAATATTATTGACTATACCTACATGTGTTAAAATATTTTGAGGTTTGAGACTTCTTCAGCAATGAAACACCACCTCATCATTACATGAAGTTATCTTGAGTAGAATTAAAAGGATGGTGTTGAACCTCCTTAACTGGTATCTTTCCCTTAGGGTTCCCAAACCTTTAATCCTCATAATGGCCTATCAATTTATTTAAGACTGGCAAAGAAAAGTGTTCTCCCAGGATAGGTGGTCTAGAATTTCTCTACAAAAAAGACTAAGACAAAATTTTTTGTTGGAAGCAAGTTGGGAAGTTTGTGAAGCAAAAAGGAGAAAGGGAGAAAGGAAGGAAAGAAGGAAAGGGGAGAAGAAGTGAAACATAAAGAAAGAGACACAGTGAGAGGACAATGAGAGATAGTGCTATTAATCATTGCAGTTCAGTGTTTTGAGGTTTTCCCATAATGGTGCTGAGCTGATGAGACAGAGAAGACTTTTGAAAATAAAAATGGTGTGTGGTCTTCATAGAGAGAAATGAGTTTCAGGACATAGGCAGATTGCTCTAGAAATCAGTAAGAACAACAAAAGGCAACCCAATAAAAAAGAAAAATGACCTCAAGAAATAGGAATTGCAAATGGAAAATTAAAATGTGAAAAGATGCTCAAACTTATTTTCAATGATGCAAATAACATGCACCTATACAGTCATCACATCATCAAATTTTAAGTCTTTTACCAAAGTTTTATGAGAATGTGGAGAATTCTCAATTACTGCTAATAAACATATATTACATATAAAGTTTGAAAAGCTGTTTGAAAATATCTAGAAAGGCTGTCTACATATATACTCCATGACCCAGAAATTTTATTTCTGGGTTTGTCACACAAGGAAGTTTGTGTACATGTGCACCAGGATGTACCAGCAAGAAGATTCATGTCAGCAGGTCTGTATCAGAAAAAAAACTAGAAATAAACCAATGTTCATCAACAACAAACATATAAATATATTATGGTATATTCTTACAATAGCATACTATAAATTAGTGCAAATAAATGAATACAGATACAGAGGACAATATAGGGAAACTTAAAACTTTTTGTTGAGCAAAAGAAGCAAGACTCCAAAGAATTCCTGAATGGACTTCCCTTTATATAATATTTAAGCTATTCTTACAAATGCATACAAGCTTGTAAAATCACTTTTACAAAGGAAGAGTGAAAGCATGCACCATGAAAATCAAAACTTTGGTGAGCTCCAGTGAGGTGTCAGAGGATCTATCTAGGGCTTATATTTTTTAATTTTTTATATATGTATGTGTTGTGCAATCTTCTGTGGTACAGTTTGCATATTGATAAGACTAGATAAAGAAAAGAGGGTACAATTTAGTAAAGTTTTACTCAGAAATGAAGCAAAAAATTGGATGTAAGTCCCATTGAGCTATGGGATATATAGAATATTCTGTTGTCTGTTGTTCCTTCCATCCCTTTTTGAAAACAGGACATGTTGAACAATATTTGTGGTCTAGTCGAAAAGGCCCTGAAGTTTAGGACAGAAGTGAGATGGGAGAGAAAGGAAGGGAATAATTGCTGGAGCTGAGCTCCTCAGCAGAAAGAATGGATGGGATTAAGAACAATGGGTAGATCTTTGGATAGAGTGGGGAACCCCTTGTTACTGGCTCAAAGGGTGAGGTTTTGTGGAACAATGGGGTTTAAGATATCTATTTGGTGGTGACAGTTAAAACTTTTCTTCAGTGAAAGAAGTTAGTCTCTTTTTTAAAGATGACCCTGAAGGAGGTGTGATCAGTCTGTGTTATCCCTGTCTCCAAGCAAATGGCCGCTGCCCCAGAACAACACTCACCATGGTTCTGTCCTGCCAGGCGGTTCATCAGGTAGGATTTTCCTGTCCGATACAGACCTGCGATGGCCACCACCACCACAGGCTGAGACATCTTGTCTAGAATCTCCAGTGCTGTTGGGTTTACTGTCAGCTGATTATTCTGATTTTCCACCAGACAGATGGGGTCCATCATGGTGTATCCAGAGGCCATGGTGAGCTGTAACCCAAAGGAACAATTCAGTACAACACAAGGTCCCAAAGTCATATCTAATGGTTATACAAGTCACATGTATGTCAGCTTTCTGTGTGTAGAACAGACTCCTACATTTTGTATTTAGCCTAGTGTGTCAAGGCCTGGCACAGATTCCTTATGTACATTGTCATATTGATCTTTAATTAAACCCTAATACAATCTTGTGCATGTGATGCATAAAAAAAATAGAAGGAGCAAAACAAAACACTGATGATGGAGCCATGAGAACATTAACATATTGGGGGTAAGTAGAGGCAAGATGGGACATGCAGGAGACAGAGAATGACCAGAGAAGATACGTGGAGTTCCTGAGTGATTTGGTTTCTCGTTAACTGCATATATTTTCTGAGCACTTACCATGTGCCAGACACTCTTGTAAGTGCTCAGTATCAAGTAGGGAACAAAATGGATACCAATTCTTGCCTCATGGAACTCTGTTCCGGTGGGAGGAGACAGACAATGCAGAAAGCAAATAAGCAGCATGCAGAGTATATGTATATTAGATGATGGAAAGTGCTCAGGAGAAAAAAAGCAGGAACTGAGATAAGGAGCATGGGGGCTGGATTTAAATATAGCAGTGAGGGCGAACCTCTGACACACGAACTCATTTTTTTGGTTGATTTTGCTTTGTTAAATGGCATTTAAATACATAAAATAAATATCAAAAATATAAATCTTTGTTTTACTATGGTTGCAAATATCAAAAAATTTCTATATGTGACACAGCACCAGAGTTAAGTTAGGGTTTTTCAAAATGCTGACACGCCGAGCTCAAAAGGTTCGCCATCCCTGAAATAGAGGATGGTCAGGAAAGGCCTCTCAGAAAAAGAGAAATAAATGTGCTCTGCGACCTTCAGGAGGACAAATCTTGTGAATCCTGGGAGCTGTAGCAGTTGGAGGAGGGGAGACTTTGAGAGGAAGAAGAAGACAGAGAATAAGGCTCACTCTCAAAACACCATGATACAGATCTTTACAGGATCCAGGTACAGTGGTGAATGTAGGAATTCATCTATTTAAACTAGAGTAAAAGGATAGTTTTTGTTTGTGGTCTGAAAGGGAAGAGAGGCTGTAGTCAGGGCATTTTATGCTGGGCCATTGCTGCCAGAGTCCCACAGCTGGGAGAGGATCTACTATAGTACTCTACTGTTTCCATCACAGTGGGGGTTTCATGCAATTAAGAGACAGGAAGCAGTCAAAGTGCTTTGACTGTCCCTTCACTTTCTCAAAGACAGTCCTACACAACATTCATGTGCCCCCATGCTCTCCTAGCTGTGTGCATTGGAAAGAGTAATTTCTGTATCTCAGTTTGTTCTTCCATAAAATGGCAACACTAAAAATAACCATCTCACTCATACAACTTAACAAAAGGAAGATAAACAATCCAATCAAAATGGGCAAAGGACCTACATAGACACTTTTCGAAAGAGGACATACAGAAAATCATGAGACTTATGAAAACATGCTCAAAGTCAGTAATTCATCCAAGAGATGCAAATCAAAACAACAATGCGGTACCATCTCACACCTGTCAGAATGGGTATCATCAACAAATCAACAAACAACAAGTGCTGGCAAGGATGTGGAGAAAAAGGAACCCTCTGCACTGTTGATGGGAATGCAGACTGGTGCAGCCATTGTTGAAGACAGTATGGAGTTTCCTCAAAAAGTTAAAAATGGAACTGCCATTTGACCCAGTAATCCCACTTCTAGAAATATATCCCAAAAAAACAGAAGCACCAATAAAAAAGGACATATCCACCCCTATGTTAATAGCAGCACAATTTACAATAGCTAAGATTGGGAAACAGCCTAAGTGCCCATCAGCAGATGAGTGGATTAAAAAACGGTAGTACATCTGCTGCTGTGAAAAAGTACTCCTCTGCTGTGAAAAAGAACTCTTACCATTCGCAATAGAATGGATGGAACTAGAGAGCATTATGTTAAGCAAAATAAGCCAGTCAGAGAAAAATAAATATCACATGACCTCACTCATTTGTGGAATATAATAAACAATATAAACTGGAGAACAAAAGTAGTTCCAGAGACAAAGAAGCATCAAACAGACCATCAAACGTCAGGGAAGGCAGGGATGGGGGGTGGGCAGGTAAGAGACCAACCAAAGGACTTGTAGGCATATATATAAGCATAACCAACGAACACAGACAGTAGAAGGGTGAGGGCATGTGCTGGTGGGTGGGAGCAGCTG